TACTATGTCGGAGTTTTTACTCGGGTCGGGTTTTGACAGGCTGTTGGATCAGCTTGCTCAAATTGAAGCCAATGGTATTGGAAGAATGGAGAATCCACCAGCTTCAAAAGCAGCAATAGAATCATTGCCCACAATTGAGATACTTAATGACCATATTGCCACTGAATCATACTGCGCAGTATGTAAGGAGCCATTCGAGTTAGGTACCGAGGCACGGGAAATGCCATGTAAGCATTTGTACCATTCCGATTGCATACTCCCATGGCTCTCATTGCGCAATTCGTGCCCCGTCTGTAGGCACGAATTGCCCACTGAGTCACGGGACGTTGTCGATTCGAACGAACAGAATGTTGTAGTAGGAAATGAAGAGGCAGTGGAGGAGGAAGCTGTTGGATTGACAATTTGGAGATTACCTGGTGGTGGTTTTGCTGTTGGGAGGTTAGGAGGGAGGAGGGGTGGTGGGGAGAGAGCACTTCCTGTTGTGTACACTGAAATGGATGGTGGGTTTAATAATAGTAGTAATAATAATAATGGAGTTACAAGGAGGATTTTGTGGGGCTCTAGAGGGAGCGAATCGCGGAGAAATGGTGGATTGAGGAGGTTTTTTGGCAACTTGTTTGCGTGTTTTGGTGGTGGTGGTGGTGGTGGTGGTGGTGGTGGTTCTTCTTCAAGGTCTAGTTCCACTAGTTCAGATTCTAGGATAATAAATCGAAGCGGGAGTAGTTCAATGTCGTCTGTGTTTTTAGCTACGGCGAGGAGGCGTAGAGGTTGGGGTTTTGAAGGTAATAATGGAGTTAGAAGATGGTAAGTTGCCCCTATGGGAACTAACCTAGTATTTAAGTGGAGAAGGATAGGGGCAGGACCATCATTCCCGAGTTTTGAAAGCTGTGGTTGGTCCTAAGGGTTGGCCGCAGACCGATTTCTTGGCCATAAAGAAAAAAAAGATGGTAACTTGAATACTGGTGGGACGATAAGCTTCGTCATTGTAAATAACTGGATGTGAATGTTGGCTCTTTAATGGCACGCAAGAATTAATTTTTGATATTTATTAAGGTGATATTTATGAAGATGCTATAGCAGGGGAGATGACACTGGAATATTAGTGCAAGAATTGGCTCCTGGAACTAAGGTAGACTGCCTCAACTCTCAAGTACCAAATGTGCCTTTTAACTTAAAGAGTGCCCACAATGTAATTCTTTCTTGTATTCTCTTGTTTTTTCGTTTTTAAGCTTTTAGTTTAAGTTTAAATTCAGCCCCCTTTGTTCCAATAGTCTATTGAAACTTATGAAGCTTACATGAATTCTGAGTTTCTTGTATCTGGACTTCTTCACTTTTTATTGGAAATTCAGGTATGTCCCACAATAGGGGACCCTGCATTTAGTCTTGGCTTGTTAGTTAAAGACTTCCTTTTGATCATGTAATTAAATTGTTCATCGAAGATTATAAATAGCAAACTGTTTCCTTATATTGGAATCTATTTGTTCTTTTCATTTTGATGTCATTAATAGAAGTTTGAAAGCTACATTGTTAGTTGTTTTGTTCGGAGGAATGAGGATGGACATGTACATATGCATAATATGATAAATGGTGAACGTTGATATTCTGTGTTTCAGTTCGCGAGTTATGTTTTTAAAGTGGAGTTTATTCATCGGGGATAAACTTGTGTAAACACCAGTTGCAGTAGGGGAAGGTGAAGTGAGGTCACAATAGCAGGCCATGTTAAAATATAGCAAAATGCTGATGGAAGCATAAAGTACCGGCTTTACTGATACATGAATTTGCTTTTTGAAGTTATAGGTTTTGCATAAGCTAAAAAAGCAATTTTAGTTGATAAAATGGGCCTATGGCTTAAGGTGGTAGTCTTGATTCTTGGCAAAGTGGGAACTAGTAACTTGTTGATGGGTGAACCTAATAATCCATCTGCAGATAACAAAGCCTTCCAATGGTGAAATATATGCTGGTCCAGTAGAGTAGTAGCTCCAATCTTTTTGGGGTAGATGAATTTGTAGACTTGTAAGGAATGAGGAAATTTCAGATAGAGGACTGATATTAGCCTCAATCCTTCTGTTATGAATTATAAGTAGGCCTGGTTATCATTTAGATTACTTATTAAAAGAGAAATAGGCAAGTTGCGAGAGACCAAGCAGGCATTATATTAGGTGGGACCTACAATATAGCCTGGTGGATTCCCATTTGCAGAGTTCGGGTAACTCTGTACAGGTGGGAGATAGCAGTACCCGATGGAATAGTGCATAAGCTGGCTGGGAAATCACTGTCGCTAAAAAGAAAATATTCCGGCGATTGTTCAGTCAATTTCCCTGCCTGCTAAGGAGAAGAAAAATCTCTTGTTCCAAGCGGCAGCTACTTGATGGATATTAATAGAGCAAGTTGATAGATTTTATTAGGGTAGGAGCTGTAGTTGTCTGGTGGGGCAGTGGTTATAGTTTGGTGCAGCTTCCCTGCCTGCTAAGGAGAAGAAATAGTTCTTGTTTTCAGTGAAGAGTATTTGATGGATTTTAAAGTGATCCCATTAGGAATAGTGGCCCTGAGTTTTATACTAATTTGTAATGAGTCTAATGACAGGGTATTTGGGACATCCTAATCAGATTTGACTTTGAAAGCTTTTCAATTGCTACTGAATTTCCATAGTGACCTGCTGCTTAGCTCAACTCTGTGGTCTCTCCATTGTCTTTTATATAATATATATTATTGGTGATTAGTCACATTCTACTTTGTTCATTTTCTTAAGGTGGTGGTAGGTTGCATGTATGGCTGGATAATGGACCATGAGCAGCGGATCCTTTGGTAGTTATAAACTCAAACCAACAAGTGGATCTATAGCATATTATTCTTCACTTATGATACATCTGGGCAGAAATGAGTCTGCAAAAGATAGTTTGTTTGACAGGGTGCTTCGATTAGGCCCATTTTTGGGTGTAGATACTGTCTATTAATATAGTGTGCCTTCCCGTTTCTAGTTAATATTTTTATTTTTTAAATAACCGTGGTGTTCGAGCCAGCTTGCGTGCACCTCAACTAATTTCACGGGATACTCTTGGGTAGAAGGATACCTGCTACCTTCTAGCAATAAAGGTATCGGATGATGCTGTCCACCAAGGATTGGACAGATGGAAAGAAATCACCTAGTATTTTTACTTCCGTTGGGATTTGTTCATTGACCACTAGGCCATACCCTTGGGTGTTTATAGTTATTGTGGAATTTGGAAATTCATTTTCTTGTCTTAGTCCTGGCGTGGTATCTATGCTTGTTCATCCAATGTGTTATCTTTGCTTGGTCATCCATGCCATGACAAGAAATTGAGCTCTTTTTGGACATTTACAGCTTTGCTTTTGTCCATTAAAAGGAATCTAAGGGCTATCCCTCCCTATTGAATCTGTCTCTTTTGGGTGAAACATAAGTGGCTATTTGACAGCTTAATATTTTGGACCACTACTTGGCTTGTTACAAGTTTTAGGTTGAGGTAAACCTAAGAAAGTTATTTTACTTGACATATTTGGCATATAGCATATGGGGTCATCTAGTCAGAGTGGAATTGTAACATGTTGGTGTGATAATCTAATAATACACCTGCAGATAAAAAGGTTTCTGAAGGTGAAAGGACTGGTTTCAAGAGTTACTTGTAGCCATAAACTCTTGGTTGAGATTCTGTAGAGCTGGTCTGTTTAGTGACAAGAACCTCAGAAAAGAAGACAGGTGTTAGCAGGAAACTTTCTTGCTAAGAAATTAGAATGTTAAAAGTGGTGATTATCATTAAAAGATTAGGAAAAGAGAGCAGTTACAACATTTTATTAAGATGGGACCTAATAGTCTGGTGGGGCTGTGACTAATTTTTTGGTGCATTTCCCTGTCTGCTAAGGTGAAGAAATAGTTCTTGTTTTAAGCGAAAAATACGTGATTTGTACAAGTTTTTAAAGTGATTGCATTAGGCTGTGGTGGTGGGGATTTGAGTTTTATAGTACTATAATTTCTTATGACAGGTTATGTGGGACTTCCTAATCAGACTTGACTTGGAAAGTTTTTGTAACTGAATTTCCATATTTGAGGGACCTTGTATCTGTTGTTTAGCTCAATTATTATGTGGTCTTTCCTTTGTCCTAATGCATATATTATATAATGGGTGGTTAACCACGTTCTTAGTTTTGTTCATATTCTAAAGATTGATGACATGGTAGGTCTGATGTATGGCTGGATTTGGACCCTGAGCTGTGGACCCTTTGATTAATGGGGCACAAATGAGGCTATTAAAAGATTGATAGTATCAAATTCTTGAAGAAGAAGCATATGCAGGATATCTTTAAGCATTTGGTTATATTTCTGCTCAAATTCAAAAGCTGTTTGTTCGATGCTTTTTACACTGTTGTGTCCTATGATCTCATCTTCTTGATATATATGGGAAGGGGAATATAAGGTGCAAATCTTTCCTTGTATATTGTTACTATCAATTGCATGGTTGCCATGGCATTTAAATCTATTTTTGGACCTATTTTTGGATGTTAATGTTTAGGTTTTTTTTTTTTTGTGGTTTCCCACCCGGTATCCGGTACCCGCCTTGGAGCTCGATTATATCCGGACTCGCTCTGCGTAGGGCTCCATTCAGGGGGAGCGCTCCCTACCAAGTATTTTTCCATACGCAGAGTTCGAATCCGAGACATATGGTTAAGGGAATGTTTAGGTTCTCTTGTAGTTAAAGGTGCAAATTTGTGCTACCTCTTGAGCTAATGTTTATAGTGTTGTATTCCAGTCAATTGAGTTTTGAATGTTGTGGTAGCAACTTTAGTCTTACAAATAGCTGACAAGAATAAACAGAAAAAGTAGATAATAGACATAACGCATACTCTCTTTATTTATCCCTTTTCTTTCTCAAAAAAATAACGCAAAATATCTGAATATTCTAGGCGCCATTGTCAAAAGAATTTGTTCTTCAGCCTGGTTGGATTGGATTTTTATTTTGTTCGAATATTTTTGGGAAAATACTACATCTGAAGCTTGCAGTTAATATTTTATCACTTAGCTCACACTTGGTTTTTATTCTAAATCAAATAATTAAATCTTAATCATTATAGATTTAAGTGATAATACATTGTTCAGGAGTGTCTACACAGACTACTAGCTTAGCAATAGCAAATGGCCGAAAGTATGTACTTTTCTGGCAAAAGAAATTGTATTTTACCAAAGGGTCAGTCAATAATATTTTAAAAATCTTTTGTTTGTAATCTCTGTTTGTTTTGAAGATAATTAAGAATCTAGGGAATGACAAATTATAACTAAAGATTGATATGGTGCCATGTGATTACAACAAATTAGTTTTCTGTTGGACGCTAACAGCTTGGCTTTTGCTATTAAACGGAATCAAAGGGCCTTAAATCTTGGGATTTGTCTCTATTTAATGAACATTTTGGAAGAATAAGTGGCTATTTGGCATCTTAATGAACATTTGGACCACGACTTTACTTCAATGAAACTAGGAAAAAGCTTGCACCAATTGCTCGATAGAATGAAAGTTATCCTCCCGGATCGCACTTGTGAAATTACACTATTGTTGTTGTAGTATAGGTCCATCTAAACCCAATTTTTGTTCAAACACTATACATATTTTAAGAGCTCATTAAATAGGTATACATAATAGAATTTGAACTCAGTGATAGAATTACGAAGTTCAAAATCATAAAATTTAAATCCTAAATCCGCCTTAAGAGAAAGGAGAGAGGAAAATTCACCTGAATGTTGATGAAAGTAATCCCTGGCCTTATACACGCACTAGTGGAGTGGGCCCTTCTACCATATAGGCCCAAGGGAAGGCTATTAGTTGGATTTGTCTGTTCGGACAATGGCATATACTCCATCCGTTTTAATTTATATGAACCTATTCAACTGGACACAGAATATAAGAAAGAAACGAAGACTTTAAAACTTATGATTCTAAACAAACCATACCATTTGTATGCTTGTAATTTTTTTGAAATTTGTAGTGTTAAACAAGCCAAAGTATTTGTCTGGCAATAAAAGCTTCTCATTAAGGGTGAATTGAAAGTTTAAGTTCAATTGTTTCTTAATTCAGAAAGAGATTATTCTTTTTTAAACAAACCGACAAAAGAAAATAAGTCCACGTAAACTTTAACAGAAGAAGTATTACATCCCGTAGATATTTGCACTTTTTGATTGCATGATTATCCTTCTGGGCCAATTAAGAAGGGAAAGTGGGGACTGTACATTTGAGCTGATCATTTCAAATCAAACTGTAGTGTTACGAATTGAAATTTAATGGATTTTGTAACTTTGTTGGCCAATTCGCTCCTTGTTATTGAAATGAGAAAGGAATCATCTGAACTGAGCGCACATTTTCTTCTGATCAATATTAACCTGTGAATAGTCGTAATCTAACTGAGCCACAATGCTAAGACTCATTCACGAGCATTAGACTATAAGCAACATTTAAAATATCCGATTATTTGAGAGCTTTAAAACCATCAATTGATAGCTGAAAATGTGCTCTGTAAAACCGTTAAATAGATTAACCAAATATCCTTCCTGTATAAACTATGGAGAGATGCCAAAAGATTTAACAACTTGAAAGCATAGAAATACTTCTCGATCAAGGAAATGATAAAGCTTACGAATTTAGCATATTTAAACATCTAGATACCATGTCCTATTCGTCGTCTATCAGTATATATAATATAATACATACCGGATTTTACTTTGCTTTGCCCTTTCCTTTTCCTTTCTTTGCTTCAAGTTTGGCTTGGATACGAGCAGCTGCTGCTGCCTTTGCTTCTTCTCTCTTCTTCTTCTCCTCCTCCTTAGCGGCAGCTGCCATTTCTCTTTGCTTCTTTAGCTCCCTGTTTAATACAGTACCGATTGTTTTGTGGAAATTCCATTCAGTTGTTTTTTAAGGATATAAACAAAGGCTCTTACAGAGAATAAACCATGATTTTCAAGCTAATAGCGCAGAGAAAGAGCGAGAACTTACTCCAGCCTAGCCCTTTCATCTGAAACACTGCTGATACTAGAACCTTTACGTGGTCTACAAGCCACGAGCTCCACCTCAAAAACAAGGGTTGCACTGTATTAAGATGTTTCAAAACCAACAATTAGATTACCACTTCAAAAGAACACCGCCCCTACCAGCCCAAAACATTGATTGTGTTGCCATGAATCGACGTCCTCGTACTTCCTTTAACTGTTTAGACTGCCCGAAGGTCCAGGAATTTGGTGACCTAATGACTTGATGAGATGCAAATGTTAAAGAAAATTCTTTTTTTTAAAAAAAAATCAGGTAAAGTAATGCTAAAGAAACAAGTATTTATTTTCTAAAAGAAAACCTGTAGAAATGAAACCTTTATCATTTAATAGTAAAAATAAGTTCTGAATGATGTCCAGGTGTTGAAGGCAATCCACAATACCCTAGACTCCAGCTCCATTTAGTGCAAGCCATTTAGTAGAGAGCTTTATTTTACATGGTTCAAAATATAGGTGGACCTATACCATTCTCCTAATACAGAAACATTATTCTTTCTCCTCCACTTTTGAAAAGAGTATATATGAATGTTGGGATCAGGAGAAAGCGCTTGAGTTCCCTCCTTCAGTACTTCGATTAATAGTTTGCAGGATTTCTAGAATAGGAATATGCTTTTTCTTTAGAGTAAGACGCTTTGCTTGCTTCTTTCGGCCAGCTCAGCGGATGAGTGGCCGTATTCCACACCTCTTTCTCTTACGGCTAGTGCGCTATTTGAGATAGTTGAAAAGGGGTGTAGCGATTGAACTCTATAAGGATAGACGGGGTGATTTCTCACTACAAAGAAAAAGGCTGAGGATTTGAAATAGATAGAAAGGAGTCCAATCTAAGCAAGCGTAGTGGAGGAAAGAAAAAATCCTTATACCTTCACGGTAGTGGACTACCAGACATTGATTGATAGACACGCTTGCAGCATGTAAAAAAATTACAGAGTTAACTTACTCGGGGGGAATATCCGGTGGGGATCCTGCACTTCCATAGGCATACTCTGGCTTGCAGGTAATTACAGCTACTTCCCCAACCTGAGAGATCAAAAGGAAAATAGTTGAAAACTAATTCAAACTCGATGTATAACCACCACAAGTCAGAGAGCTTATTGACCTTCATGGTCCTCAGTGCAACATCCCAAGCCTTAATAACAGAACCAGTACCAATCTCAAAGGAGAAAATTGTATTATCTTCACGGGTAGTATCAAATACTTCACCGGTCTCAGCAAGAGTGCCTTCATAATGAACTGTTTTGATACCGAAAAACAAAAGGAATAGATTAATGTGCCGAATCTCAACCAGGAAGATGTAGCTATTTCCGGTACCACTAAAGAGAAATATGCACATGTTAGAAATTGAGTTGTAAATTTGGAGATGACCGATCACTGAAACAAGATACATGGTGAGGACAAATTAATCATTTTCAAAATATGGATCACAAAAGAGTATTAACTTTAAACTGAACCTCGTCCCTGTTTTTCTTTCATATGTTGCTAGAAGAAAATTAATTCACAAAATTGTCATTAAGCAAAAATAAAAAGCATTTTCCATTATTCTTGAGCTCTTATGTGGGGCACTGGGCCACACTACAAGTCAATCCAGGGACAAAATTATGGTTAACGAAATCAAAAATGTTGGTCAGTGTCTAAAAATTTTCAGTCTCAACTATTGCCAGAATAAAGAAAATCTAGAAGCTTGTCTGCATATGCATGTAAACGTGTAATTTTACAGTTCAAAAGTGGAAGGACACAATTCTGGAGACTTTTTCAGTAAAAAAAGAAGACCTTAAATTATGAGTTTATTGTCAAAAAGAACATTTATCGACAGTTAGTCAAAATCAAATAATGATCACGCTTGAGTGAGGGATAGAAGGATATTGTGGTATTCGAATTATCTGCAGGACTTCATGACTATGGAAGTAGAGCAGCTGGAGCTCCCAATTGAAGCCTAACTTATAGCAGAAACTGTATTAAACGACCTAACAGTGACTTTTGAGGACTTGCTGCTTTAAAATTCTCAATCTTTACACCCCTTTTCAACTATCTCAAAGCTCCCACTCTACCTTTGTTTCTTTACCCCATATTTCGTTCTTCAAACATTAACGTTTAGTAGAATGAAGACCTATTTCGCTTTTCAACATTAGCATATAGTTCTACAGCCAACCAAATCAGAATTAGCTATAGTTTCTCTATTTATAAATTAAGCAATTGTTTTGCAGGAGATTTCTTCTTTTCATTTTATAAGGAGCACACTTGCCTTTGTAAAAAGGCAGTAACTAGTAACTACAACACTCCTCTTGCAAAGCATTGATATCTGTACAAAACCTACAAAGTAACGTTCTACGCATCTTGTTCTGTCTAGGTTCTATGATAGTAGAGGCTGGATTCTTTACAACAATGTTTGAGAGAGGTGCTTATTGAGCATATCAATGAAGGAAAACACGGCATGTATCTACAGTCTCAAGCAGCATCGTTCAAGGAAGTAATGGCATGAGAGCTATAGCTACACAGTAAAGGCTCACCATGCATTCAAGTGTAATCCTAATAACTATATAATTAGTCCATTGTAAGAGACATGCCAAAATGAAAATGCGAGAGTGAATACAACAGAGACGGACAACAGAAAACAGAAACAATGTAGACATTTAATGTCATATGCCCAAAGTTATCTATGTGACCCATACCATCAACAAGAGGAAGACTCTCTGAGGGAGCAATTGCATCAGGTTTCGAACGTTGCACTATTTTTTTCATAACACCTCCATCTCCAGTTAAATCAATTGCATCACCCATGTTATCAAACTTTTCAGTAACCTGTCTGGAAAAAAGAATATCAAGTGACGAACAGAGGATGGTATTCACATTATTTAAGCAACTAACTGCTTAGACCACATACACACAAAAATGAAGGAAATAAATGGGAAAGTTATGAGAAGGAAATAGTTAACATAAAAATTAAGAGCATTTCATAGTTCTTTTCTCCATTAACTGTATTATGGGAGGGTTTATTAACATCAAAGGCGTTAATTTTCGCAAAATAGGCAAATGTTCTGAAACTTACCAGTATAATGAAGAATAGAAGGGCACAAAGGAAAGCATTACATTACACTTTATGTAAGATTTAGGTTTGAGAACACCAATCTAATTACTGGCAATTTAAACTGCAAAGACTATAAGAACTCACCTAATATTTATTTTTTTTAAACTTAGTCTTTCAACATTTTTTTCCTTTTAATATTAAAATTTGAAAGTTCAGTACTGACACTTCCTTTTCCTTCTATTTCTTTCATTTCTCATTTTGGGTCGTAGTTTCGGACCTCCTAGTATTGTATCAGGAGAGGATACACCATGAAGAAATTCTGTTGCAGAGAAGTCCCCAATCTCAGCTTACTGAGGCAAAATAAATCATATAATCCAAAGGAAGAAGACCGACTAGATTAGCCGCAAACCTATGTTGCTTAGATCCTTCAAAAATGTCGCCAGTGTATTGGATCCTCCAAAAGCTATGGAGGATACCACACTAGGGGTGGGCATAATACCGACCGAACCGAAAAAACTGGCCGAACCGTGAATTTCGGTTTTTCAGTTTCGGTTTATTCGGTTATTCGGTCGGTGCACGGTTTTTAAATTATTAAATTTCGATTTTTCGGTGCGGTTTACGGTTTTGGTGTTTCGATTTTCGGTTAAACCGAAAATGCCTTCTGTTAACATTATATAACATGAAGTTCAGGGTGGGAACGGTTAAACCTGTTCAGACTTCCTTCTATAACGTGTGAGACTCACTAACTTAGATGTTACAGTATGTATATAACATATTAACATTATATTATCAACATTTATATAGTACTAGTAAGTAGTTTAACTGATATCTCTAACGTACACGAACCAGAGCAACAGGAATACTAAATATAAAACCATATTTGGGATTTAAGTCTGGACTTCTAATTTACATTGATTTGTTAACTACTATGTTTTGCTGGATCCATTGTAAATCCAAGATATAAAAATCTTGCACCGTTAATAACCGAAAAACTAAACCGGAAATAACCAAACCGAACTTTGAAAAACCGCACCAAACCGTAAATACTTTGGTTTGATTTGGTTATTAATATTACAAAACCGAAAACCGATAAACCGAACCGTACTTTCATAATAATCGACCGAATGAGCAGCTTGGTGAACTAAGCTACCCCTATGCGCACGGTCCGGGAAAGGGCCGGACCACAAGGGTCTATTGTATGCAGCCTTACCCTATTTCTGCAAGAGGTTATTTCCACGGCTCGAACTCGTGACCTCCTGGTCACGTGGAGGCAATGGAGGCAACTTTACCAATTATGTCAAGGCTCCTCTTCAAATTAGTACAATATCAGAAGCCAAAAAAAATTGACTGTGCAACTTAAACATGTAAAAGTCACAGAACTACGCCAAATTGAACTTGAGGCTCCTTCAGATAATTCAGAGTTGCAAAAAGCATAGTAATTCATCTAACAATTCGCGTTCAACAATTACAATATCATGCGAAAATGGCGTTAAGCTTTCGTCCTATGATAGATAAAAGATAGAGAGTGAACTTACAGTTCAATTTCGCCGGAGAAATATAAGGAAATTTGACGGCAAGAGGACAGCTACTCCGGCGTCATCTGAAATTGGAGAGCATAATCAATTCGAATTTGGGTCCCAAATTGGAATCCATTTGCTTGTTGTCAACGCAAACGGCTAAAAGGAATATGGGCTTTTGAAGTGTGAAATCCATAAGCCCAATTCATAGGGCCTGATCCTTTCAAAAAATGTCGTTCCACCTTTTTTTCTTTCTTTTTATTTTTGGCTAAAAATTAAAATGGATTACTTTTCCATACCGCATAGCTTTTCTCTATATTGTGTTTATGCATGCTTGCTTTGAGACGATGTTCTACCCAAAATAACCCCTCTTTACCTGCACAAAGGGAGGTTAAGGTTGCGGTACTTTCTACCCTCTCTACACCCTACTTGTGAAGTTATACCGGATATGTTAGTATTTGTTATATGTAATCTCAATCCAACTAGTGCAAAATCTTCATACATTGTCACATTCATAATATAATGAGAATCAAATTATGAATTTGGATCCAATCCATTTGGTGACCCAAATCCAACTCTTTTTGTCCTACAAAAAGCTACTTAATGGGCCATTGCTAAATCATAGCCCACCAACTAAAATATTAAAATGTTCACCGTCATAGAAGAATTAACCAAATAGTCGTTCATCTAATTTCTTAAACTAAAAATAGCCGATAGATGTATAATATATGAATAATTCATGTATAGTATGTATATAATTATATATAATTATATAATTATATATAATATATGTATATAATATATGTATATAATTCATGTATAGTATGTATAATTATAAGTATGTATATANNTATCAGTAAATCTAACCGACCGTAACAATCCCAACATCATATCTTCTTAACTAGGAGTATTAGAAAGATAGCGACAGGGCTTTTCACGTGAACATATGGAGCCCACAAGATATCACTCATGTGAATAAACGGGTCGAAAAACAGCAGAAGTGTTTCATGGGCATTTTTTAGGATTTTTATATAGTTTAATCGCTTCCTAAAATAATAGCGTACAAATATCTTTATATATATATATATATATATTTTGCTTGCGGCTGTAATTATTTTTGATAGAATAGTCAGTTGTGTCAAAAGCTTTGCACTATATCTAGCATGCAAAACATCTTAATTTTTCATGAATTATACTTTGCGATTATTCATATCCTAATTGTTAGTTAAGTATCTTGTATCTCGTATTTGTTTTTAATTATAATAAAATTATAGCATGGATTGACTGAATATACGTGTAAGAATTTAGTAAGTATTTTTTAAATTTTAAGATATTTTGTAGAAGAATATTTTGATAGTGTCCACGTGAAAAATCGAGGCTAAGACTTTTGATGTGATCGTTGATCGAACACTGGACTCTATAATCTAGACTCTTCGATGATAACCTTTTATTTGCCAAATATGATTCTTTTTTAGGTTTAATATTTTATTTTTTGCTTCGTCTCGAAATACAATTATGGTTAGAAATACAAATAATGATTTGTTATTTTTTAAAATAAAAGTAAAAAACTACAAATTAAAAGATACAAAAATCTTGACACCAAGTACCAACACTCACACCCATTTGAATACCAACACAATCTTAAAAGTCAAACAACTTAATGATAGTACTTGTTTTTTTCGTTAGTAATCAGAGGCAAATGTAGCTTTTTAAAATTTATTACATAAGTACAAATAATAAATTTCTAACCTAATAAATCAAATAATTGATAAAGTTGTTGTCATGTGACTAAGAGGTCATGTGTTCAAGTTGAGAAAATAGCCGCTTGTAGAAATGCAGGATAACGTTGTATACAATAGACCCTTATGGTTTGAACCTTCCTCGACCGGCGCATAACGGGATCTTAATGCACCGAGTTATTTTTTTTTATTTTATCAACAATTGAAAACAAAGCGTTATGAATAATTATATATCAAACACAACGTTATGTTGGCAGAGGAAAAAGAGATACCAATGTCTAGTGAGTCATAGGATTAGATAGTGTTTACATAATAGACATCAAATGGGGACCCTATTGCCCCTTCATAAATAACGAGTATAGAAAACTCCAGATTGAGTTGGTGTCTATGAGTCACGAACCTTTGTATTATCCGAAACAGAAACATTAATTAACCAAAAAAAAAAAACCTATAATGTGAAAGAGTGTTCTTTTCTTATATTTTGTTTACAANTCAGTACTGAAAAGGCCCTGGCATTACCTTCGGGAAATCTAGGAGGACAGCTCGCCGAGCCTATGGTGGACGTCGGTTGGGTTGTCGACGATTACGACCATTCAAAGGCATTTTTCCATTAGCTGGAGTAGGAAGGGGGCTGACGTCGATAAGTTATTATATATATAAGATAATTAAGGCATTAGGAATCTGGGTGATCACGCGCTTCACGTGGTATTTATTAGGATTAGGACTGAGAAAAATTACCGCTTATTTCAGACAGTCCGGACCATTGCTTTTATCGTCAACAGAGAGAGCCGCTCGATAAAGGAAGTCGGCTTTGGGAAAAAATCATTCCTTTGCCGGGAAAATACAATATGTGCATGTTTAATATGTATTTTTGGTAAAAATCGACTTTCCAATGACAATAATATAACTAGTATATTTTCACAAGGATCTAAAAAAATAGTGTTTATGCATACTTTACCTTTCTTGTGAAGGTAAAGATGTTGTTTCAAATAAACTCTCGAATCAAGAAAAGTATTTAACTTTCCATTTGTTTGAAATCTTATTCTAAAAAAGGAATAAAACTTTGGTTATGTTTTGTTTTCTAGTTAATATTAACTATGCCATAAAATTCTTATAGTTGTAAAAGTATATCATTAAAAATAAAATGAGATGTTTGAAATTAATCATTTCCTAATATAGAAAGTAATGCTGCACTGTGGGCCGGTCCCGAACCGGACCGGACCGGGCCTGCGGTCTTAACGGGCCTCACGGGCCTGGTGGGCCGGGCCTGGTGGTCTCTTAAAGCCCGTGGCGGGCTGGTCTTGTTTGGTAAGCCCACGAGCCCGGGACCGTTTAGTCCGGGACCGGCTGGCGGGCCTGGTCCGAGCCCAGCGGGCCTAGCGGGCCTAACG